TGTAAATGTGTAAATTGGAAAAACGAGAAAACACCAACGCAGGAGGAAGTTATTCAGAAAATAATGGAATGTGTCGAAATGAGCAAATTGACATTTGAAATTAGAGAACAAGAAGATTAACAATTCTATAGGATATGGGGTTTATTTCATCAATGGTTAGGCAAAAAAATATGGAAATGAAATATGCTAGAGAATTTTACAGAACACGAATAATGGAATGACACAGAATATAATATAAAGATGTACTACTATTGGATGGATTTAGGATGATGTAATGAAATGCCATAATATAAATTAATTCAAAATTTAGAATATCTCGCATAAAATGAAGTAATAATAGTCATAGTCAAATAAAGGATTAATAATGATAATAATGTATACATATATAATAGATTGATAATATGAGATTTTATATAAATTGTAAATGAGGACTATGGAAGCACAAAAGCTTTGTAACCAACCGACACCCTGGATGTAACTGGAAGATGGTTTTATGTTTTATCTTTTGTTTGCGTTCGTTTGTCTAAAAATTAAAAAAAAATCATGTGCCCCATATCCAACTTCCTCCTTAACTGAAAAGAGTTCTGGGTTTTTGGGCTTCATCAAGAAATTGTGAGTAAAAGTCAAGATTTAAACCTCTCGTCTACCTGAGACTCCAAGGCAGCCAAATCTCTCATCAGGAATGTTGGGAAGGTAAAAGCAAAAGGCCATAAATCTCCTTCTGCTGGTCCTGAAGTCCAAGGATCTCTCACTCTGCTTCACTGTGGCAACTTTACAACCTGTGGACTCCAACTCACGGAATACCTGAGCACAGCTGGCTCAGGAATTCTGGGAAATGAAGTCCACGGGTCGTATCGTTGCCATAACTCCCCACAAATGCTCTATTTACACTCTGAAGGTTGAGCAGCATCCTCCAAGTGGTGGTGGGTGGCTCCTTCTCCCCATCCCACGCATGCAGAGCTACCAGGGACCCCGCTGCCTGTGCCAAGGAGAGCAGAGCGACTGGACTTCTGGACTCACCTGTTTGCAGAACCACCGCCCGGACCGGCCCTGGGCCTGCCCGCCTGGTCTGGATGACCTCCGTGCCACAGAAGAGGACGTGGCGCCGATAATCGCCCATCCCGCAGACCTTCCAGGGCAGGGTGTTGTCGAAGTGGGGCAGGGGGGTCTTGGAGACCGGGACGCTCTCACCTAAAGGCCATGGAAAAGCCACACAGTTCAGGACCCCTCCTCAATACGGAGCCGATGGGGGCCGTGTGACAACGTACCAGCGGTTGCCCCAAGGACCCTACGAGCCGAAGTCTGACCCAGGCGAAGAGAAGAGGGGGTGGAGGGGGGGCAGCAGAGAAGCCCCTCCCTTCACTCAAGGGCGGGGCATGTGAAGCTCTGCCCACCAGACCCACAGGTTGGGGGAGGGCACCTTGGCTCTGTTTCTCCACCCTCTGCCCCCGCCTGTCTGCAGGTGGGTCTCCAGGCAAGCAGGAAGCCAAGAAGGCCAGAAGGGGTCTCAGGCAGGAGGGGCTTCCAAAGCAGAGAGGCAGCCCGAGTGGGGAAGGGTCTCCCGGTGGGATAGCCGCAGCTGCACAGTGCCCCCTTGGGCAGCAAGTCCTCCCCATCCCGAGACCTCTAGCCTTCCGTCCCCACGGCGCCTGCATTGACACCAACCAACCCCCAGGGACTCTCCCAGCGCCCGTCCTACCAAGACTCTCCGGAGGCTCTGGGTCCTCCAAGGCCATGGATGTCCCAGAGGGCCTCCAGGCAACGAGGCTTCCTGGCTTTGTTCTCTGAAGACATTTCGCTTCTCCTCCAAGAAGCTTCTACCCTTCTGAAGTAGTTCTAGAACCGAAGAGGCTTCTTGGGTGGGAAGCAAAATGTTTTCAAGAAGAAATGAAGGAAGCCCAGCTGCCCTTTGCAAAAGCACCCTCCTGCCAGACTCCTTGCTCTGCCCACCACAGGTTGGGGGGGGAGCAGAACCGCCCCTGGATACCCACCTGTGAGCATCCCCTCGTTGACCACGCAGCTTCCCTCCAGCAGGATGGCGTCACAGGGCAGGGAGAAGCGCTGGCCTTCCAGGAGGAGGAGGTCCCCGGGGACTAAGTGGCGGGACTCCGTGGTGGAGCGCCCTGGCAAGGATGAGAAAGGGGGGAGGGATGCAGCCCTGGACCGAAAGCACCGGAGCCTTGGGGCACCCGCGGGAGGCCAGGGGAGGCTGCTTGTTCCAGGAAGGGCCGGCGGTTGGGAAGGAAAGGGGGCTGGGGGGAGGACCTCCTGGGCAGGCAGAGGGAGGGGCTCTGCCCCCATGAAAGGCTCCCTCTTGCTGTGACAGGCAGTCACTGTGGAAGCCTCCTCCCCTCCCCCAAGGGGCCAGCAGTCATTATAAAGGGCTGGACTGGGGGGCTGGAGAGGGGCAGGGATATGGGGGAGGAGTGTCTCCACACCCACCTTCGCCTTTCGTCCAGATGGTGACTTGCACCTGGTTGTGCTCCTTCACCAGATTGTGCAGTTTGACGGATTGCTGGGGGAGGGGGGAGGGGGGAGAAGGTTAAAGTCCTGGGACAAGATATCTGCGGCTGCCTCTTTCTTCCCTGCCCCCCTCCCCCCCCCGCGGAAAGAGAAGGCTGCTTCCTGGTCCTGAGGGGCATCCGATTGGCCAAATTCTACCAATCTCTGCCCCTCCCGCCCCCTGCAAGGGGGGCCAGGCTCCCCCTCTCACCACCAGCCAAGCTCTGGCTGGGGGGACATTGGCCATGGGCTCCCTGACCTCCCCCAGGGGTCTTGCTCAACTCCATGATGCATGAGGACCCAGGGAGAGGTTGTGGGTCTCTCAGCTATCCATACAAGAAACACCCCCCCCCAAAGGAAATTGGAGGAAAGTAAGTTAAGACAAGAATGCAGAAAGCCTCCCCCCCAAAAAAAAGACCCCAGCCCCAGGAAGAAGATGCTGCTGGGCCCCCTGACTGACCCCCAAGGGGAGAAGTCTGCAGGATCCCCCCAGCTGGGCAGGGTCCCAAAATGGCCTCATCCCTCCAGAGGCAGCGTTGCCCCCCAGGAAGTGCAGTCCCCCCCGAGCAGCTGAGTCCCCCTCTTGAGAAAGCCAGAGGGAAGAGACTCATTGGCCCATGGAAGCTGACCAGCAGCCCCTCTGCCTCCCTCACAGGGTTGTTGTGGTGGGGAGGGGGGAGGGAGGGGTTGCTGCATGCATTGCTTGGGGGGTCTGGAGGGGGGTGAGGCAAGGCGTTGATCAGACGACCGAAATAAGCAGGCGGGGGCAGCCACGGATGGGGGGGGGCTCTTCCATCCAAGGGCCGGGGCAGAGGGGGGCTCACCTGCCGGAGGACGTAGATGGTGAGGCCGATGGAGATGACGGAGAGGATGACGATGGCCGAGGAATACTCCACGTAGCCCTGAGTGTACCAGAGGATCAGGGTGAAGCATTGGAAGACGTAGAAGGGGTTCAGGATCTGCCGGCAGAGAAGACGGGCATGATGCCAGGGCACTCAAAGCACCCACAGACGCTGCCCCTTGGACCAACCACCCTCTGGGAGAACAGCAGGAGAACAGCCGTGATGTGGGGGGCCACGCTGGCATCCCCAAGTCACCCATGGCCTTCCCAGGGCACCCGAGGCTCTGCAAACCCGGTTTGACCTGCGCCCGGAGCAGCAGCAAGCCAGTCCTGTGCCAGCCCCCGGATGCCGGCAGATGTTCAGCCCTCCGCCAGGCACCTGAGGTGCCCACCTCCTCGCCAGGGCTCGGGTGCCAGCAAGCCCCTCCCTGCTGCCCAGCACCCAAGTCTGAGCGGCCTCTGCCCTGCGGGATCCGGAGCTGCCCTTGGGCATCACAAGTGGTGGGCACCGTCCTCTCCCTGCGGTTCCCAAGGGGTCGCCCGGCTTCTGGAGAAGAAGGTCTGTTGCCCGTCCCCCGAAGGAGGAGCCCCTTGGATTGTCCGACTCTGCTCTTCACCCCCTTTGCTCTTGCCTGAGACCCCCCAGAGCAAAGCCCCGAGATCCCCAGGGCCCCTCGCTAGGGTCCCCCAAGAGACGGGCAGGCGCCACCCGCTTACCTCTCGGAAGAGCAGTTTCCAGACGGGGCGGATTTCGATCTCGATGGCGTTGGGGCCACAGACGGAGCTCCTGGAAGACGGGAGGGGAAGCCGCCTCAGCCCACCCAGAAGCAGTAACCAGGGAGGGGGGTGAGGCAGAGGGACCCCTCCCAGCCAGCCCATGTGGGGAGGAGAAGGGCTCGGAGGGAGGAATGCCCCCTCCCCCAGACCCAAACCAAGATGAGGGCGAGGGCGCTTCCTCCGGCCCCCACTCTGGACAGGAAGGAGGGAGGGAGGGAGGGAGGGAATGTGTGTCCATCCGTGCTTCACTCTCTGGGTCTGTTTGGCCAGACTGAAGTTTGAGAAAACCTTTAAATGCAACATTTACAACATCCAACCACGGAGAACCTTCTGGGGAAGATTTCTAGCGCTGCCGTTGTTTGAAGTCACAAGGCTGTGTGAGATCCACACAAGCAAAGGAGGAAGGGTGGGGGGTGGGGGTGGGGGGCATACCTGAGCGCCTTCTCCCTCCTCTCCAGCCCTTCCCCAAATCGGTGGTGGATTTGGTAGCAGGTGTTGCTGTCCTGAAGCGACCTAGGAAAGGAGCCACAGGGACCATGCAGGCACTGGGCAGGAGGGGGGCCGCCCTCCTCCTCCTCCTCTTCCTCCTCCTCCTCCTCCTCCTCCCCCTCCTCCTCGTCTCAAGAAGCAGAAAACTCACCCAACTCGGACAAAGCGTTTCTCAGAGAAATCCCAGATGTACCGTATTTTTTGTACCTGGATGTATCTCCCCTACAAGAGCAACACACCAGGAAAGCGTTAGGAGGGGAGGACTCCCGGCCGGCCTCCCCTCCCCTCCCTTCAGCCAGGCCAAGGAGATGTCTGTGTCCTTCAGGGACACCCAGAGGGTTCAGGACCCCTGGGGGCGTGCAGGGAGACAGACCCCCTTCACTCCCACCCCCAAGGCTGACCTCCTGCTGCCCCTTCCGCCACCCTGCAGGGCACCAGGAAGTGCCAGGGTGTCCAGAGGTCACTGTCAATGTGCCCCCCCCACAAGGCAATGCGGGGCAGCCCACATTCTTCCCGGGCGAGGCCCCCGTGGTGACCCTGGCTGGGTCCACAGCCGGTGGGGCACCTGGAGGTCTTAAACTGGGAAGGGGAGGCAGGCAAAGTTGGCAGGAGCCCCCGGGGTTTGGGGGGCTGGGGGGGAAATGCTGCAAATGGCTCCCTTACGCCTCGCTCTGGCCTCAGGCTGTGCCACATGGGACTTGCTCAGCAGGAGCAGGAAGCTCTTGGCAGTGTCCCCCACCACTACCACCAGCCCCTCCCCATTGGCTCCCAGGTCACCCCTCATCCCCCCCCCCCGGCTCACTTTCATGTCGGGCATCTTGATGGCTTTCCGTAGGACCGAATGCTTCTCTCCGCTGAAGCTCCAGCCGGGCTTTTCGGTGCCGCAGAGAGCCTGGAAATCAAGGCTGACCACCTGCTTCCGAGTCTGCCTCTTGCTCTCATCCTGGGGAAGGGAAAGGGGGAAAGGAGGGAGACCCAGCAGGGACATTTCTCTTGGTCAGAGCAGGGCTGGTTCAATCCCTCCAGCAGGAGATCCAGAGCCTCTCGCTTACTTACTCATCTACGTATTTACATTAAATTTATGCCGGTGCCGTTTTCATATGGAAGCAAGGGAAAGAGAGGAGGAGGAGG